TCCATCCTACTCCCTTTCCTCCATCCCACCCTACTTCCCCCCTCCCCATTCTTCCATCCCCCCTTCCCTTTTCTTCCACCCCCCTCTCTCCCTTCTTCCAATCCTCTCTCCCTTCTTCCATCCTCCTCCTCTCTCACCCTCCTTCCATCCTACTCCCTTTTCTCCATCCCACCTTCCTTCCATTCTCCCCCTTCCTCCAACCCCCTGGCACATTCCTCTCTCTCTATCCTCCCTCCCCCTTCCTCCATCCCCAGGTCTGTCTTGGGGGTGGGGCAGGGTAGGGTTAGCCTGGTTCTGGCTGCACTCCCACCATGGGTGGCCTCCAATAGAATGGAAGCTCCTGGAGGGCAGGGCTGTTCCCCTTTTGTCTTTGCACACCCATGACCTAGCCCGGTGCCTGGCACTGCTTTTGGTCCAAGCCCCTCCTGGACAGACTGTCTCTGCCATTAGACTAGAAGCTGCTTGAAGGCCAGGTCCTTTAGGGTCAGTGCCCAGCACCTGTCGGGCACCTGCCAGGTGCTGAGTGAAGGCCATGGGGAGGGGAGGAGAGAGTCATGTGGCCCTCTTGTGTCAGCTCTTCCTGACCCAGCTTCCCCAAAGCCACACTGCCTTCCTGAAGAGCCCGGATCCCAGAATTAGAGTTGGAAGGGACTTTAGAAGCTGGGGGTCCAACCCCCTCCCTTCTTTCACAGTTAAGGTCCTAAGCGGGGAAAGGAGTTGCCCAAGGTCACCCAGGTAGGCAGTGAGTAGCTGAGCTTGGACCCAGGCCTCCTGGCTGAGTTCAGTGCTCTTGTCTCAGACCTGTGACTCTTTCAGAGTGGGCACGCCCTTCACTGGCAAGGATTACAAAGCTGTCATGCTTGAGAAAGTGGGGTTCAAGGACTTATGACTGAAAAGTTCATCACCAGCAGCCACCAAGCGCCCAAGGCCTGTGGCCTGCAGGAGGTACCTAGGGTAAGGGTTGGGGCCACACTGACCCAACCACTAATTACTTCCCTACTTCAGCAACGCTTCCCAATGTGTGTGCCGAGCATATTTCCATCTTGTAGCACCCCCCCCCACGGGACACAGACACCCTAGTGGAACTGATGCAGTCTAGGGGTGCTAGGAACCCAGAAATGCAAGGGTACAGGGCGGCTCTGCCTCGAAAGAATCTGACCCCTCAAGCCTTTTTTCAGTCCAAGTAGCAAGTTTATTATGACACTGGTTGGGTGGACAAGTTTCCTAGCGAGTCTGTGATTTTGTGAGGTCAATAAAAGCAGGCCAGATTCTAAGAATCTGTGCGATTTAATGGGAGTAAGATTGATGAGGGAAAGACTATGGGAAGAGTTGAGTGAGATTAAGGAGTGGCAATTAGCCTGGGGTGGTGCGGAGGTAACAGAGAAAGGGTCTGGGCTGGGTCAAAGAGCTGCAAGAAAAGGACAGTTGAAAGGATTACACTGGGATGGGATGGGGTGGAGATCTGGGCTGCTGAAATTTGTGGGAAAGTTCAAGGACTGAGGGTCTTTCCCTTTTGGGGGTCCATCTCGAATCCCATCCGCCATTAGAACAGATCAGGCATGGCCCTCTATATAGCTGGGGGGAGGGCAGGGAAAGAAGGGATTCAAAACTGAAAGAAAAAAAAAAGACAATAAGGAGCAATTAGCTTCTCTGACAGAACACCAGACTAGCTGATTTGGTAGACCTGTTTGGGGGGATTGAGGGAGAGAATAATGGACTTTAGGCCCTGAGCACTCTAAGACACCTCGAAAGCCGAAGGCCGCACCAGGGACAGCCCGCAAGCCAACGACCACGTTGCAGATGCTCTGAGCTAACCAATGAGGGGTTGGAGTCTAGGAGGAAGACTGAAGCTAGACACCTAGATCTGGGAGTCATTTGTATAGAACTCAGGAGAGCTGAGGAGCTCACTGAGAGGAAGGGCATAGGAAGAGCACAAAAGGGGCCAGGACAGGGCTTTGAGGCACAGAACATGAACAATGATCCAGGTCAGTAGGTCTGAAAAGGAGCGGTTAGACAGGTAGGAGGAAATCTGGAGGAGAGGGAGAGAATCACAGAAGTCTTGCTTGAAAGGAATGGATATCCAGGAAGAAGTGGGGGGTGGAGAAGATGTGAGAAAATTGGAACACTAATGCATTGTTGGTAGAGTTGCGGAACAATTCTAACCATTTTGGAGAGCAATTTGGAACTATGCCCAAAGGGCTATAAAAATGTGCATACCCTTTGACCCAGCAATACCACTTCTAGGGCTATATCCCAGAGAGATCATACAAATGGGAAAAAGACCCGACACGTACAAAAATATTTATAGCAACTCTTTTTGTGGTGGCGAAGAATTGGAAATTGAGAGGATGGGGAATTGGGGAATGGCTGAACAAGTTGTGGTATATGAATGTAATGGAATACTATTGTGCTGTAAGAAATGACGAGCAGGCAGACTTCAGAAAAACCTGGAAAGACTTGTATGGACTGATGCTGAGTGAAATGAATAGAACCAGGAGAATGTTGTACACAGTAACGTTCACGTTGTGCGATGACTAATATTGTTAGACTTAACCCTTCTCAGCAATACAAGGATTTAAGACATCTCCAAAGGCCCCATGTTGGAAAATGCTGTCCACATCCAGAGAAAGAAGTATGGAGTTTGAATGCAGATCGAAGCATACTATTTGCTAATTTTTTTTTCCTTCTGTTGTGTTTTGTTTCCTCTTTCTGGTGGTTCCTCCTATTGGTTCTAATTCTTACTTACAACATCACTAATGTGAAAATATGTTTAATAGGAATGTATATGTATAGCCTATATCAGATTGTGTGCCATCTTGGGGAGGGAGGGGGAGAAAAACTTAAAACTCAAAAGCTTATGGAAGTGATTGTTGATAATTCAAAATAAATTAATTTTTAAAACAAGTGGGGGTGGGGGGAAGCAGAATGATGCAGAGAGCTCAGGAAGGATGAGGACTAAGAAGAAGACCGGCAGGGATTGTGGGTGACCTTGTAAAGAACAGTTTCAATTAAGTGACGAGATCAGGAACCAGACTAGAACAAATGGAGAAGTAAGTGGGAGGAGAGTTTTTTTTTAAAGAGACGTTGTAGGAGTTTGGCTATAAAGGGGGGGAGAGAAAGAGGGTGATAGCTGGAAGAAGGGTGGAATGAAGGCAGGGGATTTTTAAGGTTGTGGGAGAACTGGGCTTGTGTATAGGCATCAGGGCTGGAGCCAGTAGATAGGGAAAGACTGAAAGTCATAGCAATTCAAATTTAGATCATATCAGCAACTAGCCCTTGTAGTGTGCTTTAAAGTTTGCAAAACACTTTACAAAGATCTCATTTGTTCCTCGTGACAGTCCTGTGAGGTAGGGGCTATTATTATCCCCATCTTACAGTAGAGGGAAACTGATGCAGGCAGAAGCTAAGTGACTTGCCCCTCGTCACACAGTTTGGAAAAGGCTAGATTTGAACTCAGGGCTTTATTGAACAAGATTGAAAGGGAAGAAATTGAGGCCACAGTAGGGCTCTTTGCCTGGTTCACAAGGACGGGCAGAATAATTGGATGAAGGATAAAGAGTAGAGGCAAAGGGAGGACACAACCCAAAATGGGAGAGCGGGCAGAAGAATTCCAGAGTTCTTGTTCAGGGAGATGGAACTTGGAAGGATGAAGGTGAGGTGAGGTCAAAGGTACACGTCCCCGCGTGTGTGATCTCACCAGGGATGTTGAAGCCCCCGGACATAAGAGAAGGAGCAGAGGTAAAGAGCAAGGTCATGGACAGATGCTGAGCTCCTTGAGAAAAGTCTGGGGGCCAGTCCGTGCGGTCTCCAGCATCTTCAGAGGATGGTCCAGCTGCATTGGTACTCTGAGTGTGTGTGTGCGGATCCACATGGGGGGGACAGTGATACAGGGTTTGGATATGGCGAATGTGAGGATTTATTTTGCTTCCGTATGCTTATGTTAAAAGGAGAAAAAATATCAACAAAGCAACAACAAAACCAAACCACGGGTTGTCTATCTGATGGGACAGATCTCATTCCACATCTGTAGACCACCACCTCTCTGAGAGACAGGCCTCTGAGGTCACAGTTGATCCCTGCATAATCCCTCACTTTTTTTTTTAAGATTCGTTAATTTATTTGCTTTTTGGTTTTCAACATTCACATTCACAAGATTTTGAGTTTCAAGTTTTCTCCCCATCTTGCCCTTCCCCCCCACACTAAGATAGCATGCGTTCTGAACACCCCTTCCCCTCATCTGCCCTCCCTTCTATCTCCCCCCCTTCTCGTATCCCCTTCCTTTTCTGTTTTCCTTGTAGGGAAGGATAGATTTCTATACCCCATTGCCTGTATATCTTATTTCCTAGTTGCACATG